TTTCTGATTTGTGAGACTCTGAAGACATAGGTGGATTGTGCAGCTATGGGAGATATATATGGAGGAATTTAACCTGTGGTGGGAAGGTAAGTCGAAGAGAAGTTTTGACTGTCTGTAACTTATGCAGTTAATCTTGCAGCAGAATTAATTTCAATAGTACCATTAAGAGCAAAATTGTTTTCCAAGAGTGTGTGTATGTGTTTGCTTTTCCATTGTTCAGCGTTCAGGTGCATTTGTGGGTTCTTTTAATTAAGATATAGGGAGGGAGCTTGAGTTAAGTGTCTCCTGTGTTCCTGAGTTGCGGTGTAGGTGGGAACCAAAGCGCTGGAAGCTGCAGCCCTGTTCCCAAGGGCTCAAGCACGAGCAGCTCCTCCCTGCGCCGCTCCTGGGCACGCGGCGAGGACGTTTTCCATGCAGAGCAAGAACACCCTGTCCTTTCCTATGGAGCAAGATTGGCGTGCTGTTATTATTCCATGTTTGTCTGGAGCAATCCTGGCATGGGGCCACTGGCGGGCTGCGCTCTGCTGGCGCAGGAGCAGCGTGGGCTGCTCCCCAAGTTCTCCCGTCCTTTCTCCCTGCAGGGTGGTCGTGGGGAGACCTGCTGCGCGCAGGAACAGCAAGGTTCTTCAGCTAGAGAAATAGCCTGAGAGTTCACCAGCCGTTTTAAAATGATTTTGATTTCTGGCAGTTCACAGCAGGCTTGTGTGCTTTGTGCCAAAGCTGCAATTTTAGAGAGATGCTGAGGTTTTGTGAGTGTCCCTGCTGGGCTCTCCCTGTGCCCGTGTGCGAGCGCAGGATGTTCCCGTGGGTGGGAGCAGAGGGATTCCTCCCTGTGGCTTCCCGTGGCCGATGGACATGCCCTGCTGAGGGCACGGACCAGCTCACGATGGGTTTTCGGTGAGCCCCCAGTCCATTCACCTTGTGCTGGAAGCAGCATCGTCTGCCAGCGGGATGGGCTGGGAGCGGCGGCGGTTTCCGCCTCCTCATTCAATCTCCTGTCTGGGCTCCAGCCTTCCTCGCTGGAAGCCTTGGCTTAGGCTGCTGCTCCCGAGGCTGCTTTACCACAGGCAGCTTCGTGCAGCTCGGAGCAACACATCGGCTGTGTGAGGTCTCCTCGCTGCTCTGCTGCCTCTGCCTCTGTCAGAGCAGCCCGGGATAAACCTCAGTAACTGCAGTGAGTACCCCATTCCTTGGGTCTGCACTGGCTTTGAGGTGCCCAGAGAGAGGTGGCCTTGAATTCATGTGGGGTGGAGTAACTGAGTGGGATAAAACTCAACAGCTCTGCTCCCTCTGGGATAAAACTCAGTAGCTCTGCTCCCTCTGGGGTTGCTTATAAAGTATTTGCGTAGTCTGGAGTTGTTCACAGGGCTGCAACTTCGGAGTTTTCGCTGGCACTTCTGAAGGATCCCCAGGAGAGCAGCTCAGGGTCTCAGGTTTTTATTGGTTCCAGTTTGCTTAAGTGTTGGAGTAAAACTCACCCCAAAGTTTGTCCTGACTTTATAATTGGTGACAAAACTTCAACTGGAAGGTTTTCAGGGTTGCTGTTTGGATATGGAGGCAAAATTTGTGTTCTGGATCCCACTAACTGCAAAGACTAAGCGCAGTGTTGGTAACGTGATGGAACCAAAGCAAGCTACTATCTTCATCACCCAACGTCATTTACTCACTTAGGGCTGTCACTAATTTCAAAAGTGGCATAACTTCATTTGATGAAACGAGGGGACAGATAGCTAGGGAACAGACTTAATGATTTGAAGCATTTTTACCACGTGTGTTTTAGCTAAGTCCTTCCATAGCTTCTGCTGTCTGCTGGGCAATAGTGGTGAATTTATCCCTGTAGAAACAGGTTTGCAGAAAGGAGAGGTAGGCTTGGTCTACAGAAAGGAAAGCTGGTGACCCAGAGTAACAGGGTAAGTGTGAGTTCTGTCACATATTCCTTTCCTGCAGTGTGCATAGTATGCATAGGCTAAAGGGCCATACCTAAAAAAGCATGCTAAATGCTTTTACATTTATTTTTTTTAATACTCTCTAGTACAAGAAACAGGGAAATATGTCCCTGTGTACCTTCAGGAATGCAGATTATGTCTCCCCTGACCCACATTAATAAAAGCCCCAGCATCTTGGGGAGTGGAGAAATGAACATTGCAGAGCTTTTCTGTTTGCCTTTCCCAGCTAGTCTTTCTTCACTTGTTGGGCAGGTGTTAATAGAGAGCATTAAAGCATGTTAAAGAGATGGTACTTGTTATATCTGGAAACTTTTAAATTTAGGTTTCCGTTCCTTAAGCACTTAAGGGGAAAAGAAATGAAATATTTCCTTTTACATTTGATGTATAGTTCTACAGCCAGTAAATTTAAAACTGTGGCAGAATTTCTAAATGTCATCTATGTCGCGTAAATGTGGAGTCTCGTTTTTCAGAACTGCTGGTTATCTACGAGTCTACATCTTTTCAATGGTAACTGCAGATATTTAGTGCTTTTGAATGACAAATAATGACATGTTTCCTTTCCATGCAGAAATCAATAACCTGACATACTGTGTGTGCCTGTATATGTGTTCATGCAAAGGTGGTTATGTATATCTAATGTATACGCGTCTACAGTCTACCCAGAACTTTCACCCAGTCCTTTACTTATGCCTACTACATAGTAAGATGGTGATTCTCCTTTCTGATTTGGATTTCTTGGCTATGATCTTAATTTGTTGTTGTTTGGATTTTGTGTTTTTCTTTTAGCTTATCTCCTGCAACACAAGGTTAGGAGGGCCGTGGGGAGGACTTTGGGTCTTCTCATTCAGTGAAACATAACCCAAAAGCCATGGCTTGGTTCCGTTCCTCCATGCTATGACATGCTTCACGTGTACGGAGGGTGACTTCGATTGCTTTCTTGTTCTGAGGGTCAGTGCTCCCTCAGTGACGCATCTGGAGTTGTCAGAGGCAGGAGCGGGTTGGTGGCCACGTGGCTGCACGGCTCCCCTCACGAGCGGGGAGGTTCCTCATCCTTCTCTTAATTCAGGGGAACCTGATCCGTTCCAGATGTGCACACACCTAATGACTTGGGAGAGCGCTCCCCCAAAACCAGGCTTGCGGCACGGTCTAGTGCAGCCTTTAGGAGGAAGATCTGAAGTCTTCTGCCAGGCCCCTATCAGATAGGCTCTTCACAAAGTTTATTAGCAAGTGAACTTTATGGAGGACCTGTGGTTGGGGGAGCTAGTGTTGCCTTAGAAAGTTGTCTTTCTTTCTCTGTTGAAGAAGATGTTTTGAACACCACCATTTTAGTGTGATGCCCTTCTAACAGTTAAATGGTAGCTTTAGAAAGGAGTAACACTGACTAATGACAGTTACATTGACATTTTTTTTGGCCATTGTTTTCAACAGGATTTTACTGTGAGCACTTACTATTCATTAGGAAGAACAGCCTTCTCAGGGAATCTCAGAGAGTTAGCATTATGTCTCATAATGCTACTGCTGCCAAGAAGGGTTCTCCTCTTTGTATGTCGTGCTCTTTAGTGTAAAGAAGTTAGTGTAGAAGGGAAAGAGGGAGTGCCAATGATGATGCCCAATCATGGTAATCAGGAGACATTTGTGTGGCATCCTTTGCATTTAGTATCAACTCTGCAAAAACTGAATATCTTGTAACTTTCCATCACTTACTAAATTAGATCCTTACAGACTTTGCTCTGATGGATGTTGATTTATTTTTCAAGTGATAGTAACAGATGCTTTTATAAACTTCATGAGGAATATTCCACAATAATAAAGTGGGTTTTTCCCCCCTGTTTTCAGATATGTGCTTGTGATTGTTATAAAAACCCAGCAGACTGTTTTGAGTATCCTGATAAGCTTTCAGCATTTCAAGAATATATGTTGAAGTTATGGCCGAAAGATTTTAATACTTCCTAGTACTCTCATATACTTAACCCATTACTTCTGTATATAAAAGCAACAGCTCAAATTATTTGACTCCTCAAGTTAGTTTTTCAGTGGATCCTGCTTGAAAGTGCTTTTGCAAATGTTTATTTGCAGAGATAGTTGATTGCCGCAATAAACCATAAGGTTTAGAAGGTAAAGTGTACAATTAGAGGTAGGATTAGTTGTTTTCTGTTGTTAATTGTAGGGAGACGCACTGAATGTTTATAGTTGCCTTGTCAGAAGCTGTCATTGTAATGTAAGCCATACTTCTGGGCTATAACAAATGAGTAGAGATCATCACAAGTGAAATAAGTACAGGAAACATACACTGCAAATATTGCTGGCATTAAATGGAAAATACTGCAGAGTTACACTTCTAGTCTGTAAGCACCAGCTTTGGAGACTAGACAGCCTTACTCCAAAGTTCATTTTAGAATAATTTTTATTATTCACAAGAAATTACAATTATTTTAATTCAGCCATTCCTTCAGTATGCCACTTACTGAAGATGACTGCATCATGTTAGGTCCACCATAAACACCCAGGGAAAGATTAGTCACATTCATTTTATACTTATTATAATTTTCATGCATTTTTACACTTACGACAGTTTCTACATTTTGTTTGAGTCTCCGTGTCATTTGTCCTCTCCACAGCATAACTCCAAGAGGATTTTTGGAAGCTTTCTAGAGTGTTAGAGTGAGCTTTCCTGGCGGAGAGACAAGGAACATTTGTATTCAAATGGCATGACAATATTTTGCACTTAGTGTGTTTCCCTGTGCAGTTGTCTTACAGTCTTCCACTATTTTACTCTCTATAAAATCATATAAGCAGTAAGTCATGTGAAGACACTTCACATGAAGATTATAGGATTTCTTGACAGGTGTAAAATACAGTACCAGAACCAGACATTTGGGAGATTCTGGTTCCCTGTAGGACCCACTGTGCTCTGTGTCAGACATTAGGCACAGGCCTGAGGTGGCAACCTCCAAACTCTTGCAGAGCTGAGTTATGACAATCCTGTAGTAGGAAAGAGCGAAGAAAATGTGAAAGTCACCAAGAGTTAAACTGCTCTAATTGTTTTGCCAACAGTGTTGATGACAAGACCGCCTATCTGGCGCTGGGAGCAGTGAGGAATATCTCGCTTAACGTTTCCATTGCTAACATCGGGGATGATGCTTATGACACCAACGTTTTCTTCAACTTTTCTGGGGAGCTCTTCTTCATCAAAATGTGGCAAAAGGTAAGAAAGGCAAATTTCGCTGTGAGCAAGCCTCCTAATATTAAACTAGCCCACTTATGGATATGGGGATGCAGGGTGACCTAGTCCACACATCTGAAGCATTTGGGAATTATTTCTGGTTATACTGGGCTTGAATTTGTTCCAGACAGTTTACTGAGCTTGTTTCTTTTGTTGGCTTAATCCATGAAAATTACATCTTTGGCATTTCTGTAGAGACAGCACCGTTATTTGAGGTGTGCTAATGAAAAAGAAGGGCCCTTTGGTTTAAGGCAGTTGAGAGAAAGAGGGAGACTGGTCTGTAGGATGCTCAGTGGAGCTGAAGACAAAGGCTGCCACTAGTTTGGATGGAGAGGGGTGCCAGGCTGCATTCACCAGTCCTGGTCACCTCCTCACCTGGGTTCCCAGTTCCTTTTTTTGCAGAAACTGAAGTACAGGGCTTTTCAAGGATGTGCCTGGTCAAGGACTGGGTTTTGGCTAGGGCACAACCCTACATCCAGGAGCTCAAACACGCTTCAGACAAGTACTTGGCTATTTACGTTATCATGAGTTTCACTTAGAGATATGTTGTTGAAGAAGAAACACTGAATCAAGCTTTTATAAACTGATGGCCCCTAAAACTTGGAGAACAACATGTGAAAGCAGTTGTGTAAAATGAGAACTGCATAAGAAACAACATTTTGGCTATTTTTCTCCTAGTTTTTGCAGTGATTCATCTCTCTGCTGGAGCTCTGCTATTCTGTGTGAGCCCTGAGAGCAATATTGGAAACAGTAGCATGATTGTTGCAAGTGGGATGAACTTAGTCCATTGGAACAGTGGCATTTTGCCAGTATTTGTCATATTTTGTAAAGAAGGATTATTATTCATTTCAGTTATTATAAACCTCTTGAACTGCCTCATTATAATAAACGAAAATATAATTTCTGATACATGTTAATTTTCATGCTGTGCAGTTTTGGTTATTACATCTCACATATAATTCCAAACCTTGAAAAACTCGTTTTTGCATTATAAACCTTATTTTCAGACACTATGTGCTGCAAGTATGCAGTTTATCGGGATAACAAAAAGCCAACCAAACAAGCAAACAAAAAAGGAGGAACAAAGCAGAAATACCTCATGCCAATGTACCATTCCTCCTTAACGGAAGTTTTGCATGAAGACTGTCAGGGCCTGGCCTAGTTCCCATTGAAGTCAGTGGGAGGGTTTCTGTTGTTTTGCACTGGAAAAGAAACAGATCTTGATGTATGCATTTTAACAGTTACTGTATTATTTTTTCTCCCCTCTGCTTATGTGTTGAATATTTAATACACAAAGTTACCTGGAATACCAGTTGGCTTAGCTCTTTATCAACAGTGCTGAAGGTGACAGCACTGTTTCCCTGTGAGATTTTACCTGAAAAATGGGTCTAAAGCTGACTTGAAGCAGCTGTGCTGAATACTGCCTAGAAAGAGCAGTTTTTGGAAGCAGATGACACTGTTGCAGGGTTATCTCACTCAATGAGATACTCAATGTCTCCTCTGCTAGCAGGAGCTAGCATTTCTTTTTTAAAAACAGTAAAAAAACAAGTGTGAAGTATGCATCGCACAAGCATGCAAGCTCCCTTCTTCACCATTCCTTGCAAGCAGGAATGCTTGTTCACTTGTTCGGGTAGAGCTTTTTGTTTGATAACTATTTTACCAATAGTTTTGAAAAACCAAAGAGGTCTGTATTGGGCTGTTTTATTTTCTCTTAATCATCTCTTGCTTCGGGATGAACTAAAGTGTTGTTTGCCTCTCTATCCAGATGGGAACCTGAATTACAACCTTATAGACTCAATTACAGTGTTCCATTTTCCCTTAGCTCTTGGAACAATGATTTTTTTTGTAAGATATTATGGACTGCATGTTTCATAACCTACTCCCATCCCTTGACATCTATACATAATAGGTACCGTGCAGTAATTGAAATAGACTTTATGTTCTGGATTTTTGCCTGGGCAATGCTCAACTAGTAACAAAATCTGAGTAAAAATGGCAACTCATAAGAGTTGCCTTAGTGGAGTAATTTCAGCATGAAAAGAGCTGCTTCTTCTGGGACACTCTTTGCAGCAAGTGCCTGTTAATGAATATCACTTAAATGAAAGAGAAAAAGAAAATGTCTTTTCCGTGTGGTTACTTAATACTATTTCTCTGGGATTTCTCTACGGTATCTTAGAGAGCAATGACTGCATGATGAGCTTTTATTGTCTGTCTCTGTAGTCATTTCAAGATGCTGTGATTTTTCTGTTTGTTTTCCCTGTGTCTCCAGTAGAGCTTCTAGTAAGACTGAGTGCGATTTCTTTAGATGAGTTGCACTGAGAAAAGAGAATGCAAATTTTAACACTCGTTCTCAACAGTTGGCTTCTTTAAGTAGTAAAGTGACTAGTATAAGGTGTATGAGCAGTTGTTGAGACAAAAATGCCACAAAGTATACTTGGAAGGAAAATGACACCTGATAATGATTAAGGCAGCATTCAGTTAAATGCTTTAGTGGGACTTGCCCATGCACCTTCGTGGAGACTGAGATATCATGAGCTCTGATAGACAGGGTATCTGGCAGAGCATTGTTGCTTCTCAGGGAGGCAAAAAAGTGTCCACAGGCTGATATTTAACAGGCTTGATTTATTCCACTGTGTGATTTTCCTTTTGCTTCGCAGCCAGTCCTCCCCAGCTCCGTGGATGGAAGCCCAGAGTTTTCTTTCCACTGCTCCTGATGGACAGTCCTGTAACGGAGAGGCACAGTGCGCGGCATCCGCTTTAAGGGGCAGTCTTTCCATCCCAGCTTGCTTTCCCTGCAGCATTTCTTACCCTGCCATCACTATTGCCATCTAAAGTGGCAGCCGTCACTAAACATAGTTTGATATACAAGCTGTTCTTCATTTCACAGTGATTGCATTCACTAATTTGTAGATACACTGGTGACAATACCATTGTTGGGGATGACAATACTTACATACTTCTGTTCACTTACAAAGATTACGTTTTACCACGTTGAGTGGAAGCAGGAGACAGACCTGCTGCTGTGTAGAGTAGAACTTTTTATTCCTAGAAATTTATTATCTCTTAATCTAAGTCTGATTTCAGGGCAGCGTACTTGCCCAGAGCTTGAAAAATTCTCCTGACAGAGCAGGGAGTGTATCACTTTGCCATAAGGGAGAAGGCAGAGTGATGTTTGTGTGTTAAGGTGTCTGGGAACGGAATTAGAAACTATCCTCTTGATTTCTACATCACTTTGGGTCACTTTGCAGTAGGGTCACTACCTATGGACTTCTTTGTAGTGTCAGACACCATTCTGCCTGCTCCTGGCCGTGGGTCCAGCTCTTACCATCGCCTCTCCACCATCCCTTGGGTTAGTTTTCTGTGAGCTCAGTGAGATGAGCTGGGGCTTCCTGAGGGGTGAAACAGGTACGAGATAAATGCAAAGACAGCAGTGGAAATAGCTAATTGATCAGCTAAGGTTGAGAAGGGGCGCAGGTAGGACCATATCGTTTGACAGCAACTGTCTATTAAATCAGCATGTATTTCACAGCAAGGACATAAAGATGGCATGTAGCACCATGAACGCTAAGAGCAGCAGTAACAGCCCTCGGTGCTAATCTCTCACTGCTCTTCAGGAGCCGTACAAGGGCTGCCTGGAGCCTGAGAGCTCACCCTGCTTCAGCGCGCGCTGCGGAGCGAGATCAGGAAATCCCATTGCGACAGGCATTTCCAGCGAGGGATTATGTGGTGATGTCGGAGCGGCTCCCAACCTCCCCGGCCAGCTGCGATGCTCCTGCTGCTCCATGCCGCTTGCGCAAGCAGCAGCTGAAGTTAACGGGGCTGGAGCGGGCAGAGAGAAAGCAGCAAGGCTACGGTTTCCTTCGATGCCGTCATTTCTCCGAATTCCTTAGTGAGCGTATGAAGTGCGCTTTTTTTTTTTTTTTTTTTTTTTTTTTTCTGATTCTGAATATCCAAATATTTTGGAGTCACGTTGCTTGCGTTCGGGGGTTTTTCTGCTGCTACGTCAGGCTATGGTAGCGGCCGCTCCTCGGCTTGCAGAGGCTGCGGCGCTTTGGGCGAGAGCTGCCTCTGGACGCTGGGCTGGGAGAGCGCGGAGGAGGAGCCCACGAGCACAGAGCCTCATTTTTTCCAACTGGAAATTCTCTTATGCTGGTTTCCAGTGCTGCTCATACTTCTGAAGAGTTTTAGGAGGGTACTGATAAAGCACAAAAGCCAAGGACCTGTGCCTCCTTCAGCATCCAGCTGTGCCGGTGGGAGGAACTGATTATTCCTTCCCGATTATTCATCGTGGCTCTCTTTTTCCAGCTGCTATTGCCCCTTTACATCTACTGGCAGAGAAGTTAATGCGGTTGCTCCCAGTTCATATCCAGCTGGTTAGCTAAAACCTTTTAAATTAGTGATTTGAGTTAGTCCAGCTGATTTTGTGTGGAGTGAGCTGGAATTGCTCCCCTGAACCATTCTGCCAGAATGTGAGAGCAGGGGAATGGTGCCAAGCAGCATGGAAGCTGTGACCTCTTCCGCTGACACAAGCACATCTGGGAGATCGCCCAAGCAATATATCATTTAAGCAAGGGGACTTAAACCCCTTTTCCAGGAGAATTTTTGTAACCAGGATTTGGGAATATCAATAGTATGACAGGACTGCCATGGGCTTCTTCTCTGTTTTCATGAATCTAATTGATTTTTTCACCACAACATTTTTCATCCCTGCGCAAAACTTGTATAAGTTCTTAATTGGTAAAAAAAAAAAAACAAAAAAAAAACAAAACAAAAAAAAAAAAAACAAAAAAAAACCACCCTTCAGTTCAACCTGACTTCATTTTTTATTTTATTTTAATTTAATTTTATTTTAATTTTATTTTATTTTAATTTTATTGTATTTTAATTTTATTTTATTTTAATTTTATTTTATTTTTCTGTAAATGCTTAGTGAAAAATTCAACTTTTATCCTTCCCTAGGGATCAGTAAGGATCAAGTCTTT